GAGTACATTTTGTCTCCTCCTTTAGACATACTTTAGAGACTTGAGGAGAACTAATCAATGTTGAAACAAATGTGGTGGCTCTCTGATGACTGCTGTATTTCTGAGAGCGGAGCACATCACCATGCACTTTTCCTTCAAAGTATGGAACGTCTTTGTTGTAACTGAAGATTTTAGATGTATCTTCTTTTACTGTAGAGAGAATGCTACTCTTGGTGAAACCATAACATCATGAAGCCTGGCCACAAGTGGGATGAAAGTAACTGTACTTTGCATGTCAAGGGTGCTATCCTTCATGACATCGTGTTTACATTCCTACCGATGTAATTTTCATTGGGAGGTCATAGAGCTACAGGTCTCTAGGGAGATCTGATAGGCAAGTCATAAATAATGTGCTCTCCTTCATTACTCTATTGTAAGATATTAAACTTATTAAGTAGATTAGATTTTTACATGAATAGTGTTAGAGAAATTACTTTAATTAAATGGATAATACAAGCACTCTACAAATAGTTACAGCTTAATACAGGGTGATTAATTAAAATTGGCATGCATGAACATGTGGTTCTTTCAATATATTCTTATTATGTTGAAGGAAGTAGGTAGAAAAATTGAGATTTAGTTACTAAATGCTCAAAATGAAATACACTTTGCTGTCCAGTTTCCATTGTGCCTAAGGAAATTACTTTTGACTCATTAGTGCTTCAGAAATGTCTTGTCTTTAGAAACAAATCAATAAATAGAGAAGGCATCAAATTAGTGTTATAGCTTTCTTTTGGGTTTTTTGGGTTTTTTACTTAATTGTTCACTTGCTAGTGGATTAGACAGGCCAGCTACATTGGAGTAAGTGACAACTATTGGTGCCAGATAGTGACATTGGTAAGTTAGTACAGTGTGCTAGTGTCAGATACCATTGCTACGGTCTTAGCGTGAATGCTTTAAACTAGATAAATAAATATCTGCAGAAGCTGTGGGTGCCTTGAAAAGCAATCTACTTTTAAAGCATCTCAATATAACTTTAGGTAAACTAGTATTTGGTACCAGTTCTGAAAAACACCCACCTTAATGTTTTATAATAAGCTAGAAGAATATGATAGTGACAACGAGAAGAAACTATCACTCTGCTGGGGAAAAAATAGGAAAAAAAAGGTGAAGTATGATAGAATTTCCATAGTATTATTCATACGGTTTGCCAACAAAAACTAAAATAAAACACTGATTTGGTGAGAGCATAATAGCAGAGCTTGGACTCTTCGGAAGAGTTTCAACTCTTTTGAAATGAGAGTTTTGTGTTGCTTAAGAAAATCATAAAAATGGTAAGCATTTTGGAAATTTTATCCTAATCATACAAGCAGGTAACTTGCTTACATTCTTAGTATTTATGTTCCACTGTAGTGCCACAGAATTCTAAGACTAAGAAGCCTAAACAGGAATTGTAAAACAATCTGAAATACGGAAAATTAAAAATATATTCTATGCAGTAAGGCTTCACTTTTTGTAAACTCTTTAGCTTTACTTTTTTCTCTAATTCTACAATGGCCAAATGTTTCTATGACATAACCTAGCAGATTCTGTCTACATCCTGGTAAAATGTAACTTGGTTTTAAGTATGCAGCCAAACTCGGTGGATGACCAGTGATTTTATTGTCTCAAATTCAATACTAAGCCTGTATAAGCAATTCTGTTGTTGCAGTCAAAGTATTATCAATGGAATTTATTGCTACGTAAAATGGAAAAATACAAATTTAATTATGAAATTGAAAAATATGGCTTTAATACGGAAATATATTTATTTTATATACCATATTCCAATTGGAATGTTAGGCATACTATGTTATGTAACACATTGCAGTCATTTTATAACACTAACAAACCATCACGTGATGAAACATCCAAAATCTGACATACTTTAATAAAATAAAAGGGTACAAAATAAGGGAGCAAGTTTTTTGGCAGTTTTAATAGAGATCCTGGTTGAGAAACAGTGTCAAACATTAGTTTATACTCATAATGCAACTGGAAGATTATTATTGTATTTCATTTATAGGAGGACTCTGCCATAGTTTGAGTGTTCCAGTTCTTTGGAATCATCATTCCTGGTTTTATCCCTTTAAAAGAGGAGATTATACACACAAAAATAACTTCTTGTCTCTTGAAGAGCACCCAGATAATGAATCATGACTGTGGCTTCTGTGGAATGTGGCAATGATGCTAATATCTATGCATCTTCATTACATTCGGGTTGGCCAATGTTTGCTTTTGGAAATAGTAAGCTTTGACAGTAGGTTGCTGCTGTAATTTCTTACCTGAGAAGTTTTGAGCCCAAAAATATGCGCGTATGCTCATACAGTATTTAACAATAGCATTCTGACTGTTTTTCAGCTACTGGCACTGGCTACTCTTCTAATATGCTATTATGTAAAATATTTAGAAAATTTGTCTTTGGTAGCTAAAATAGTAGCTGACAAATGAAAAGCTAGTTAAAAAAAATAAATCTCAGGTATTAAACACAGTTTGGTCCTCACTGCATTATCAAAGAGGATGGAGAAGACCTTGGAACTCCGCATAAATGACAAGGTGACGAGGTTGATCAGAAAATAACTAATGTATGAGGAGAGATGAAATACACTTGGTTGTATGACAGTGATGTGGAGGAAGCAAACAGAGGATGACTGTTCACCCTTTCTCCCAACGTAAGAATTACGAGTAACCAAGGCCCAGGATAACAAATGAAAGGAATGTCACATCAGACACAAGTAATGGAACTTATTCCCACAGGATTCTGTAAGTGTGAGATACTACAAAAAAACAGTGAAAACCTATGGAAATGACTATTCATGAAACACTAGTCTAGTTTCAAATTTTGCCTGAGGTAGATCTTAAATCCTGGTTGCTCCCATACCGGGGGATATACTGGAGAAGGCATGGTTAAGTACCTGTTCTGTTTTAATAATCTGTCCTCAAAAATTGCTGTTAGTGACTCTAGGAGACAGGCTAATTGGCCCCATGAAATTTTGGTTCAACCTGGAAGGAAAGATCTGACTTAGAGAAGTGTTTGGTGTATATGGTGGTTGGAAAGTGAGTCTCTAGAATTGAAATCTTTGTGTTGTGTGGAATGGGTATTCCACAGCTTTGTTTATATAGAGTATTTATAAAGCAGCAGTATTTTACTTGCTAGCTAGAAAGTAAATTAACTTTTCCAGCTGAAATAGGAGCTAAAAATGTATGAAACTGGTGCTTTAGAGAATTCTTTAAAACATGTATGTCATATTTTTCATAACTGAGAAATAATTTATTTCTTCTGTTTAGCATTTAGAGGTGCATTGTATCTACTGTTCTAAATAAGCATAGTTCTGTCAGATCATTCTTCCTTGGAGTTCATTTCAAACTTTGATTTCCTCTAAATCTCAAACAGTATTGACAGAAGGAGAAGTTAATGCATAGGTTACCTTCAGATGGCAATGTGTTAGTCATTGAATGTTTTCTGTTGCGGAATCCAAACTGATTGCTGTCACACAGGTTAAACATCTATACTGTTCAACCCTGGGACTTTTTATAAGAAATTTCTAAAATATTGCTGGGAAATGTACATAGTATATTTATGAATACAGCTTTCACAATAGCTGCAGTGCTTTAAAATGAAAGTGATGTACTGCACAATACTTTCAGTGTTCATTAATGTACTATGTATTGAGTATAAATATTGTTGCTACCTTGCTTAGAACCATAGAATATTATAAATTGGGAAGGACCCTGGAGGTCATTTGATCAAGTCCCCTGCTCAGAGGAGGACCAAATTAGATGAGGTTGCTCAGGGTCAGGTACCCTTGCATTTTGATTATCCTTAACGAGGAAGGTTCCACAGTCTCTCTGAGCAACCCATTCCAGTGTTCAACCACCCTCACAGTGCAAAAACGTTCCCTTGTATCTAATCAGAATGTCCCATGTTGCAATTTGTATTCCCTTTTTGAAATTTGTCTTTTGATCATGCACTCCAAGAAGAATCTGGCTTTTACACTGTGTATACCCTCCCATTAGGTAGTTGCTGACCGCAATAAGGTCCCCCTTAGCTTCTCTTCCCTGGGCTGGACAAACCCAGCGCTTGCAGCCTCTCTTCGTATGCCATGTGCTCTGGCTCTCTAATCATCTTGGTGACCTTTGCTGGATTCATCCGAGTATTTCATTGTCTTGGACTGGAGAGCCCAAGAGTGGTCACAATTCTCCAAATGTCGTAGCTCAAGCCCAAATAGAGGGAAACAATGGCTTTACTTGACCTGTTGCCTGTGCATTTTTCAAGAGTTGCAGTTAAAAGACTGGCTTCTACCTTTAAGAGTGAGTCTGATTTACAACAGTGCTTAGAAAAGGTCTGACGTACTCAGGTTCTTGTGAACTTTCAAACTACATGTTTTTTTCTCATAAGATGAGTAGGTTTAAATACTGGGATTCAAATATAGCATTTATGGTACAAAGCTATTTAAAAAAATATTTTCATAAAATATTAGCTGTCCCTGTGTGCAGAGTGCTGTCGTTGATAATAAGTTGTCTGTTTCCTGATAATTAGATGGAAATTTCTTAATTGATGAATCCTTTCTATATGCTGGTTCAGAGTATGATCACTTGCTTGTTATAATTGCTACTAAGTGGACAGCTCAGTAAAGTTTTCCTGTTATCTGCTGTAATGCATGGCACAGATCTGTTTCAGCTTGGGTACTTACTGACCATAGCAGATCTGAGGAAGGATGAAGAAATGAGGACAGAGTGGAGGGAAGTGAGAAAGTATTCTGTAATGTGATTAGTGACAACTTACCTAATTACCCTACTTGGAAAGCTAGGTCTTATCAGATCTGCAGTAGTGATAAAAATCTAGGTAAATGAATTATCTAGTGAGAAGTTGCCCTTTCATCGACTCTCATATATATTTCAAGGAAAAGAAATACTCTTCTGTCTTTGTGGAACATTTTTAACTAAAGTTGCAAATACTCTGTGTGTTTGGTTTTTTCCAGAATACCCATCTCCTCCTTTTCTCAAGACAATATTTATGAAGTCCAGCCTCCAAGAGCTGATAGGAAGTCAATAGAGATTTTTCATGCGCACATTCAGGCTGGAAAAGGAAACATGCAGCCACTGGGAAAAGATGACTTCCTCATGTACAGAGAGTACATTCGAAACAGATACATGTAAATACAAGCTGGATTCTCCTGCCAAGCCTACTGTACTGATAGATTATAAAAATAATTTTAGAAAGGAAACCTAGTTTGGTATTTTGCAGTAATAAATTTATTATCTAACATTTCTATTTATTGTGCCTTACTATTATAGATTTACAGTATTGTGCTTTACAGGAAAAAGTGATTTAATATCTGCTCTTCAGCTGAAAGAGAAAGTGAAGAGACTAAGTGAATAATCAGAGCGCCTACAGTCACTGAAGAGTATGTAGCAATTTATGGCAAAGAAAATATTCTATCTTTAGATTTTATATTAACTTCTTACATTGTTATGTTTGCTAGTAAAGTTGAAGTGATTTGTACATAAGAATCAGAAGAGTATACTTTTCTTCCTCTTTGTTCCATGACAGTGGACAATCTTTTTGACAACAGCATGTTTTCTGTTATTTCTTGAGATTTTTTAGCAAACTGAGTGCTAAAATGACTGCTTGTGATTTACTGCTGCCTTAAGCAAAAGTGAAAAATGTGTGGCTTATTTCAAAATCAAGCCTTTGTAACCCTAATTTGTGTCAAAACTAATCTCACTGCTGCTAGTAGCTACAGAATCTGTGTCACATGCAGGGTGAAAATGGCTTGTGACTAATTATCATGGACTTCTAGTGAACCACTTACTGACTGCATCTGCAAATGAAGGAATGCTTTCCACTTTACTGGGTTTAGACTCTTAGAGCACACAAAACCATCCTGTCATTTTTCTGTGTGACAGTTGTTATCCTTTTTGCAGCATACTCTTTCCATCCCTGCATTTGTACTCCTGTGAGATGCTTTCAGGTTCAAGCTTACAGCCTCCCAAGGAGTCAGTATCGGTAAGTGAGGTATAGAGACTGGATCAGCTGGGGTGGTCATGCAAGGGGAAGCAGTAGTTGGGTGAGGCAAGACTCAGCATCATGCCTGGTGCTAGGTAAAAAGTGGAGAGACAACAGGTATCTGAAATAGGTTGTTTAATTTGGACTTGTGATTAAAACATTTCTCAAATTAAAAAAAAAAAAAAGAAAAGAAAAAACCCAAACCTGTATCATTTACAATTATAAGCTAAAAATCCCCAACGCTGCTTTCTAGCCCTTTGCCTTGAAGAATACGGACAGTGTCAGCAGCATCCTTGACAAATCATGTTATTCCACAAGCTTGTACAGACCATATTTCAGGATTTTCTGGAATAACTGAATAACTGTTTTAGGGATGTCAGCCAACTGCATGTACTAGATGTAGAGAACGTGTTTGTGTTCATAGTAAATTGCTCGCAGCCAGCTACCCCAGATTCTTGGCTGCATGCTGCAAACGTATTCTGAATATGTTTGCATGTTTTACGCAGTAAGTTGCACTTTCGTCAGTAATTCAGTGAAAGAAGAGATGCAGTGGATAAAGGGAAAAGACAGAAGTTTCTTGTGATAAAAGTCTGTGTGTTTCAGCGAGTGACTTGTATGCAGTCAGTGAGAGAACATGGTACCTCAAGCTACCGAAAAAATTTGGTGTCCGTTCTCTTTTGTTAATTGATTAATACTGTTTTGAGAGAAATGAATGTATTTTAGGAGATGCAAGAATGAAATGTCACTTCAGATAATACTTCATTGCAACTGTCAATGTTGTTTTTTCCTCTGGAAAAAAAACCTGTACTGAATTATTTTGTCCAATATGAAAAATAATTTGAAGGAATAAACGCATACTTTGGAAAAATTTAGAGCTGGAGTCCTTATCCTAATGAGGCAAATGCATACTTTTTGTGCTGCACTTAAACTATTTCAGAGAATGTTTTCTAGACTGTTACAGTTCTTATACTTTTGTTGATCACAGATACTGGTAGTTCATAAAAGTTCTTTCAATTTATGAAAGTGTACCACTTAACAGCAGATAAGGCAAAAGACGATGCTTTCTTTTTCAACATGTAGTGTTGTTGCAAAATACAGGAACTGTAATAATTTTACAGCTCTAAGAGAAAATACATTGACAATTCAGCAATTCAAACACTCCTCAGAAAAAGAGGATTAAAGGTTGGGGTTTGGTTTTGGTTGTTTTTTTTTTTGAAGTTTTGAGAGATGACTGACATCTCAGTCCATTCTCTGTAATATAATGCTAGGCTTTTCAGCATCTCTCTAAATGTGTGCCGTGACAGTCCTGTCGTGGCATCCCCTTGAATCTTTTAGTATGTATAACTGCTGCTTGTTTCTCCTAGCTGCTTATAGGGGTTTAAGCCATGTGCATTACTTCATATGCTTGGGTATTAATATTCAGGTGGTAGCTTGTATGATCTACCATCACTGTACTCTTAGCAGCCGCTAAGAATACTTCAGGGTGCTAAAGTTAACTGTTTACTATGCTTGTTTGAAAAGATAAAACAACGCACAAACAAGACTCCCAGCTTAACACTGCCTGAACGATAAACTTTCAACAGTCTGACTAGATCTGCTGCCTAATGTGGTAAAGGGTTAATTTAAAAAGAAAATGCGCTCATCACCCATATAACAAGTTCAGTTGTATGAAGGACTCCAGAGATGCTGCCTCTGCAACTACCTGCTTGGTTCTGTTCTTGTGATAATAAGGTTCAGTTCTCAACCATGTTAGAAGTTCTGAATAGATGCATATATTTCCCTTTCAGAAGTTGAGGAAAAAGTGTATAAAATAAGTATAAACACAAAAAGAATGGGCTGTGTTTGCTCTGAAGACTAACATGGTGCTCTTTTTGACTCTTCAGTGCTAATGACCATCTTTAACATTGAACTATATGGACAAATAAAATATTTATGACAAATGTGTTGGTTTTCTTCCAAAATATATTTAGTTTCAGTGTGTTTGAAGGTTACATTAAAATACCACACTAAAATGTCCACCTGGAGAATAATGACTTTGGGATCTTTTCTTGTGGATTCAGGAGGCACAGACATCGGGTTAGAGCTCCATCATTTCCGAACCAATCGTTCTTTGATGCCAGTCCAACAGCTTAAGCTCTGTTCTGTGACCCTCTTCAGATCAATAGCTGTGCCCTTAGCCGTTATTTGCCAGCGCTTTCTTGGTGGTTTCCCCTCCTCGTGAGTTTTGCTTCTGCTTGCAAAGACTACTCACTTTTTGTTCTCTCACTGTCGTTCCTCTCCAGAGAGACTGAGGTGTGACCCTGAAATAGGATCCTTTTCATGTGCACGCAGCTGCAGCCACCAGAGGGGAGAATGTGAGAGCTGTGCGTAGTTCTGGGATGACATTTGTGGTAGCTCTTTGTTTTGGTATTGAGGTTTTGAGATTTTTGCACAGGATCCCAGGAGAGTTCTGCTGGCTTTCACAGACTCAGGCCAGCGTTCACTTGTAAGGCATGTGACCTGTCAAATAGTCATGTTTTACAGTAAGAGGATATATCAGCTTCACTTGGGAGATCATTTCATTCTCCACAAGGAGTTTCACCCTATCTGTACTCCCTGAATAATTGCACATACAAGAGCAGTTCACCGAGGATAAAATGGTGCAGATGCTGTACTTCAATAGCTGCATAGTGTTGAGTTATATATATTGTTCCATTTGCTGGCATAGATTGAATCAGATTGATCACCTGGAGCCTGATACAGAGAATATATAATGTGCTTGACTTCCAAATGCCTCCCTCTGTCTTCTGTATATTTAGAAAATCTAATTAAAGTTGTCACTTTTTGTGATTATTTAAAAGTAATATGGAACTAGTGCAATATGTTACAAAATATTAATGAAAAAAATCATACATTGAAATTGCAACCCTTGCACATATTGATAATCAGCAGTTCCCTACTGGAGTTCCTTATATGCTACAAAGAAAACTGTTACAGCTGCTAATCTGTCTACTAGAATCAAGTAAAAGAGTTATGTGAAAAGGCATGAAAAACAATGTTTAACATTACTGTCTATTTCTGGAAGAGAATACATGCTTTTTCCCATATCTGACCCAAGGTTTGAATATAATATTTAAGTTCCGTTCTTTTGAATATATTCATCTGTGAAGAATAAGGAGACAGTGTAATAAAGGCAGGACAGGTGAGCAGCACGTAATGAACCATCTTTGCTGGTCTATTTGCATTTTCCCATCCTAGGTGTAGCTGTGCTGCTGGCTGGCACTAAAGCCCGGTGGGGTTTTTAGGCATTAAAATAGCCGCAGAGTATGCAGTTGAGGTGGTCTTCCCATTTTTGGCATGCAGCATGTACAAGATAGTGTGCACACTGCAACCTCAAAATCGTCTGAGAAACCCTAGGCCTTGGAAGACCACTGTGATGACAGCTCAGGTACTCTTTTTTTTTTTTTTTTCCCCTCTCTCTTTTTTTCTCTCTTTTTTCCCTCTCTCTTTTTCCCTCTCTTTTTCCTCTCTCTCCCTTTTTTTTTTTTTTTTTTTTTTTTTAATGTTTTTTTTTTTTTTTTTTTAAACTAAGATTTCACACAAGTGAAGTTTTTTTTTTTTTTTGTAAAGGTTATCTTTTGTTATCCTACTTCCCTTTTTCTTCTGATTTTTAGTAGTTTGTTTTATTTCTGTTCCCCTTTTTTCTTCACCACCTGTGGTTGAGAGTCCTTTTTCTTACCCAGAAATGTGCCAAAAGTTGCAGTTTGCCCACTATATCCATATCACTTCTTGAAGGAAAACTCTGTAAATGTATCCTTTTATTGAAAAACCTTAATGCTTTCTTCAGCAACCCATATCCCTCCTTTTTAAATGCAGGCTGTGCCATCATCTGCCCTGCCTGATTTCCTACCTCCTGTGGTGGCGACCGACGTGTGTTTTGTCTCTCTTGGGTTCTCTGTGTCTTGGTAACATATTCTTGAGAAGTGCTCTGCTTGGGTACAGGATGTTAGTGCTTGAACAAATTGTAGACATCACTTAAAATCTTTTCCTCTAGAGAAAGTCAAGCGCTGCTCTGATTAAGAAAGTACGAGCGCGTTTAAAGTGCTCCCCTCTGATTGTCTCCAGTCCTGCTACAGCAGCACTCTGCATCTTGCTGCGTGGAGTTGTCCAA